AACCTTAAAACACTTAAACCCTGAAACCATAAAGCCCTAAAAATTCGAAACCCTAAAACCCTAAACCTTGAATCCTAAAAACCCACCAAAAAGTCTAAATTCAACCCAAACCTCAACAAACCTTGACCTATGCCAATACCTAAAACCATCCCAAAATTTTAAGAATTCATATGAAAATTTCATATGAAGTAATTTGTTCTCAAATATCGCTTAGAGGATGAGGTATTAAAGAAATTGTATTTCATTAAGTTTTTCGTAAGATTCCTTAACCCAAAAACAATAATAATAATATATTACAAAGAGAAATAAAAATGAAATTTTAAATATAAATAGTCACATCTAAACTCTACCTAGAGATTGGGGAGTCTAGTCAGTATCTTTATATTAAGAGCTCAATTTCAAAACTGTATCTCATCATCATGCATAACACACATTCATATCTTTTCATTTTTAGATTGTTTCTTGCATTCATTCCACATGTTCATATCTTTTAATTATTATCATTTGTTGGTGAATTATAGCACCATTGGTTTTTTTTTTTTTTTTTGCATAAAAGTTTTTTTATGAAAAATGTTATTTTTTAATATATATATGAAATTTTAAAATAAAACAAAAATAATATTAAAAGGAAAATAATTATTGATACGTTGCCTAAATGTTATAGAGTCATCAATAATTATCATTTACAAAGAATGTTATTTTTATTTTTAAGAAATGTCACGATGAATCTTTTGTGAAACGAGTTATCTTTAAATTCTACCTAGATATTAAAAAATTTTAAGGTAAGTCTTTAACCTAAAAATTTCTTCAATATTCCTAAACAATGACTTTTAATAAAATTGATTTTTTTTAAAAGTGAATGGAGTTATTATTAAATTTGAAATGAAAACCATTTTCATTCAAAACCAAAGATAATGTATAATTTATTGGTACCTTTTTTTAAACAGGCATTGTGAAAGTATTAATACTTCTCCACGCGTGATCGTACTTTCGAACTTAATTATATTTTCAAAGTCCAAAAATATCTTTTTGATAAGCCTCAAATCATTTTTTTTTTTGTTTTATTAAAAGGTTAAAATTTTTAGGTGGTCAATCATCCCTAACAAAAAAATTAATAACAACTCTTTTTATTTTTTTTATTTTAAAATTTTTTGTTTAACGGTCTCCAAAACCATTATAACAAATACGATAGACATGAAGGAATGGGAGAGATGGTTAGTGGGTAAGCTACTAACTAACCGTCCTTTTAACAGAAAAGCCATGATAGGAACATTCAATCTCATCTGGAGGATTGCCCAAGAGTTGCAGGTCAGTATTTTAGATGCCAACTTATTTCTCTTTAACTTTGGTACAAAGAAGGATAAGATGAGGGTAATGGATGGCTCCTCCTGGTCTTTTGATAAGAATATGTTAGTCCTTACTAAGTTCAATGAGGATTTGAGGCCATCAGAGTATACGTTTAACACAGCGCAGTTTTGGGTAAAGATATATGATCTACCTTTAAAATGGATGAATAGAAGAGTTGGAGAGATGATTGAAAACAAGATTAGGAATCACAAAGGGGTAGATTCAATCATGAATTTTTCGGAATAGTGAAAGTTCCTCCCGGTGCGAGTAAAGCTGGACATAAGGAAACCGTTGAAGAGATTTGTGGTATTAGGAGCTCAAGGTGGTGGGAAAGAGATAAAAGAAAGACTTAAATACGAAAGATCGTCGTTATTTTGCTATGAATGCGACATACTAGGGCATATAACAGTGGAGTGTAAGCTGATGGAAAACAAACAGAACATGAGCTGATGGAAAACAAAGAAAACATGGCAGGGCTGAGCCCCCATATGGGGCATGGATGCATGAATCACCTGTTACGAAGGGTTATGCCTCTTTCATGGCTAACACAAAAACTGATAAGAGAAATTACTGGAACGGAACTAGACAAGCATCTCTAAAGGATACACGAGGTGGTGACGGTAATGGATCAATGGTGTATGTAACATAAAAAGAAGATGCACACTGCAGAACACCTCCCTATCAAAATGCTGGAAGTACGAAAATCCAAACGAAAGTGGTAAATCAGACGCAGAATTAGGAAGTGGTTACGGGGAATCTAGGGAGCTCAATATTCGGAAGAGATAAGGTACACAATACTCATAGAGCAAATGAGGGGAAAGTATAATCTAATTTGAAACACCACTAAAAGATGTTGATGGAAACATGCTGCAGAGCCCAAGAAATAACAATGGCAAGGATAGAGGTAGAAAAAGTCAAGGTCAACATGAGTAAAAAAGGGAAAAAAATCAGGCAAGGCACCTAATTTATTCAAACGCCATGCATGGGAACAATGAATACCATGTAAGAAAAGTGACAAATAAAGAGCATGTGGTTATAGAGGCTAGGGCAGTCATAGTAGACAACAACCACCTAGATGCATGCATGGGACGTGCCAGTTTAACGGAAGAAAATAGAGTAGCAATAAAGAACCAAAGTGCGAGAATGACATGAAAAAAGAAATGCCAGGGTTGCAAACAAGGTAGAAGAGGCCCCTCTGACAAACCTTGGCAAAAGGAGAATGAGCGAATGGAATGGAATGGGCAGGCGAGGAAGAGCGGATAGATTATGAAGCAACAAACCAGCAGAAAAGAGGAAAGATTGAGGCAGATGTTACCATGATGATTTAAAAGCCAATAGCGGAGACTAATAACCAATCCCTCCAAGAACAATGAAATGCCTCACATGGAATTGCCGTGGGCTTGGGAACCCGCGAGCAGTTCGAGTACTTGACAAGTGTTGAAGAAAGAAAAACCCAATGTAGTTTTTCTCAACGAAACCAAACTACATACAAGCAAGCTAGATAAAATAAAGAGAAAATATGGATTTAATTCATGCTTTGGAGTAAGATCATTCAGTACAAGTGAAGGCTTAGCAATGATGTGGAGGACAGACACCAACCTCAAACTTCAAAGCTATTTGAAAAACCATATAGACATGGTGGTGGAAGAAACAGTAGGAATGGAAAACTGGAGAATCGCTGGTTTCTATGGTGAACTAGACACCCGTCTGATGTCGCAATCTTAGGAACTACTTCAGAGTTTATCCTCTCAATCCTCTATGTCATGGCTGTGTGTAGGAGACTTTAATAAATATTACGGTCCCACGAAAAAAAGGTTAGTGCTTAAAGAAGAAAAGATAAATGGAAGAGTTTCGAGAAGTGTTAAGAAACTAGGTTGGAAGATTTAGGCTTCAATGGAACCTAGTGCACGTGGGAAAAAGGAAACCACCTTGGGAAAAATGTAAGAGAAAGGTGAGGGGTGGCTAATCAAAGATGGTGGGAGAAATTTCCTTTGTATGCAGTTCACCACCTCACAGCATCTGTTTCAGATCATAGTCCTATAATGGTGAATACAGAGGGGAAACAGCGAGGAAGACCTTATAGGAGAAAGCACAAAAGGTATCTTTTTGAGGCAATGTAGATAAAAGAAGCTGACTGTGAGTAGGCAGTACATAATGCAAGGAGGTCATGACATAAACAACATGAATATAATGGAAAAACTGAAGCTTATGGGTGTACGACTTGAAACATGGCACAAGAACCGATTCATAAACATGGACAATGAGGTTGAAAGGCTTACTAAAGATCTTCAACAATTGAAAGATGCAACAGTCAACGAAGAAAACTTGCAAAGAGGGAAACATATCAGGGAAAAGCTGAACACAACCTTAGACAAGGAGGAAACGTTTTGGGCGTAAAAATCTAGGGTCGAATGGCTTAGAGAGGGTGATCGCAACACTACCTTTCCAAGGTTTTTCAAAGAAAAAGGGTAAATGCAATCAACGTCCTAGAAAATGAAAATAGAGAATGGTGTGAAACTACTGAAGAGATCCAAGAAATAACCACTAGTTACTTTAGACAACTTTTTCAATCTTTGAGGCAAGGTCGGTGTGATGACATTCTTGAAGCCATTGGGAACCGAGTTTTAACCGAGATGAATGACTTCTTGCTAGAGGAGTTCAAAGCTGATGAGGTTCTTACAGCATTGAAACCAATGCACCATACAAAAACACCAAGACATGATGGTATGCCTGCTTTTTTCTTTCCAAAAGTTTGGCATGTAGGAGGCAGTGATGTGGTTAATTTCTACTTGCAATTCTTGAATGGAAATAGTGATCTTAGGGAGATAAACCACATGAATATTGTCCTGATCCCGAAAATAAAGCAACCAAGAAATGTGACACAATTTAGACCAATTAGCCTGTGTAATGTGCTTTATAAACTCATTGCCAAGTTCTTGCTAATAGGCTCAAGTTTGTCCTACCCCATTGCGTCAGTGAAACCCACAGTGCTTTTTCCCTAAGAAGATTTATCATAAACAATGTATTGTTTGCCTATGAACTACTTCACTCCATGAAAAACAAAAGGACATGTCAAACAGGTTAATTTGCCCTAAATTAAATATAAGTAAAGCATATGACAAGGTTGGGTGGCATTTTCTTAAAAAAAAAAATGGTGCATAAGCTAGGTTTTAGACTAAGATGGGTATCACTTATAATGAGACGCATCAAATTAGTATCCTATTCAATTGTTGTAAATGGCCAGATTACTAACAAATTTTACCTACGGAGAGGCCTTTGGTGAGGTGACCCATTATCACCTTACCTATTTCTATTTTGTTGCGAGAAACTGTCAACAGTTCTTACAAAACCCCAAGGAGAGGGGCTGGTGCATGTTGTTCAAGCTAGCTTTAATGGACCCTGAATCACTCACTTATTTTTTACAGATAACAACTTACTTTTTGCCAAGGCAAATCGAAGCGAAGGCGAAAGGGTGAGGGACATATTACGAACACATGAAGAAGGTTTAGGCCAAAAAATGAAAAGTCTGCATTATTCTTCAACGACAACACAAACATCCACCACAAAGAAATATTAAGGAACCTAAAAGTCCAAAAAGATACCTAGGATTACCTACCATGGTAGATCGGGGGCGAAGGTAGGCATTTAAAGAAATGAAGGACAAAATTAATCAAGACTACAAGGGTGGAGTCACAAAAGATTATCTTTTGAGGGTAAGAAGATTTTTATTAAAGCCATACTCCAAGCAATCCCAGCTTACTCCATGAATTGTTTCATGTTGTCGAATGGCCCCTGTACAAAACTTGATGGTATTTTCAGTAACTGGTGGCAGCAAGGAGAAGGATCAAATGGCATACATTGGACGAAATGGAAGAACATGTGCATATCGAAATCTCGTGTGAGAATGGGTTTTCGAGACGTGGAGCTCTTCAACAAGGCAATGCTTGGAAAGCAGGGATGGAGGTTGCTAACACAAACTGAAAGCCTTATACACCAAGTCCTCAAAGCAAAATACTTCCCAGATTGTTCCTTCATGGAAACGCAATTGGGAAACAACCCATCCTACACTTGGAAAAGGACATGGGAAGTCCACGACATCTTGGAGAAAAGTGTGAGGGAGAGAGTTGGCAATGGGCAGTCAATACAAATTTGAAAAGATAAATGGCTGCCAACAATGAGCTCCTTTTACGTACAGTCACCGAAAGTATTGCTTAAGAAAGACAGTCTCGTGCAAAAGCTTATAAACAGCTCAACCTTGCAATAGAAGAGGGAGTTAATTTACTTAGTTTTCTTACAAGAAGAAGCGGAAGCTATATGCTTCCTTCCAATAAGCAAGCTGGGTGCAAAGGATAAAATAATGTGGCACTATGACAACAAATGAAACCTACATAGTCAAGAGTGGCTATAGATTGCTGAGCACTGCGTTGAACGAGGAATTGACCCATTCAGTGACAATAAAAGCCAACAATGTAAAGGTATGGCAAGCAATGTAAGCAGCAAAGCTACCAAGATCAAAGCTCTGCTTTGGAGAATTTACCAAGGTTTTATCTCGGTAATGGTAAACTTACAAAAGAGGAAGCTAGATGTGAACAAGACATGCTTTATGTGTGAGGCAACGGAAGAAACAATGATACATGCCATTGGAACATGCCCGCCTCCTACTCAAGTCTGGAACTCTTTAAACGTAAACCAAGTGATTCATGACAGTAAAGCTAGGCATGCAACGTGGATGGAGCAATTGTGTATGTCATCTGATAAAGAACAACTACTGGTTAGCATGATCACTACTTAGGCTATATGGAATGAAACGAACAATGTTTTGCATGGGGAGAAAAACAGAAACCCACAGGAACTGGTATAATTCATCAAGAAGTACATGACTGAGTTTAATGCCACACAAGTAAAAAAACATGAGTCAAATAAATGGCCCTGTCAGATGGAAACCGCCTTGCAATGAGACTGTCAAAGTCAACTTTGATGGGGCAGTAGACACTAGACAAAAGAAAGGGGGAGCGGGAATTGTCATAAGAGATTGCACAAGTGAGGTGCTTACGGTAACTTCTATTCTTATGCCAGGCATAAGTGACCCCTTCCATGCAGAAGCCCATGCAGCCACCCAAGCACTTACGTTTGCATCCGATATGGGGTTTAGGAGGATAACTCTCGGAGGAAATGCTCTAGGAATCATTAAAACCTTTAATTCAACAGGGCCAGATTTATCACCAATGGGAGTAATCACAGAAGAAGTAAAGGGAAAAAAGAAACAATTTCACAATTGTCTCATTATGCACACTCAGAGAAAGGGTAATATGACAGCTCACTTGCTAGCAAAGAGCAGCTTAAGTGTAGTAGAGAGTAGATTGTGGATTGAGGAAAGTTCTGAGCTTATAGCTCACATTATTCTTGAAGACTGTAAACTAGAAAATGAATGAAATTTCCACTTTCTTTAAAAAAAAAATCATTCCATCTTATCACCCTAATGATTTAAAATCATTATCACGCAATATTGGTAAATTGGTACCAAACAAATGACGTAATTATCGAGTAAAGATCATTATGATTTTTAGTTTGATCATCCCATACCAAATATTCTTTATAAGTCATGTTTTAAACCTAAGAATCTATTTGGATGTGGTATTCAAAGAAGAAAATTCTTTTCAAATAAGATATTTAAAAATATAAAATTTAATTGTCATATTTCACATGGGAAATTTCAAATTTTACTAAGAATTTCAAGAGCTTAAATTTACTCTTGAAAATTCATCTAAAAATGTTATTTTTTAAAATTTTTCTAAATCTCTCGTCTCATTACTTTACATGACATATCATAAAAAACAAATTTCAAAAACTAAATTATTATTTTATTTAATTATAATATTTTTTATATTATTAATAATATTTATGTTTTTTATAATTATAAATATTGAGTTTTTTTAAATTAATGCATTTTAAAATATTTTTACTATAAATTTTTTTAAAATATTAAAAATTTTATCCAAATGAACTTTGAATGATAAATAAAGAATAAATCTTCCTCTGACAGATGATTTTTTTATACAACATAAGAACTTAGTAATAATTCGTCCATGTAGGGACTAAATAGGAGAAAATAACTTGATTTTGACATGATTTAAATAGGAGAAAAACATTAAACCTAATTGATTTTGATGGGTTTTTGACAAATCTAACTTGGGTCAAAATTTTAAAAATAAATTATTTTAAAGAAACTAATTGACAAAATGATAAATTGGTTCAAGTTTGACATATTGGATTTTTGTAATTTTTTATATACAGTTTGGTTTAATAATCTTAAATATTAGGTATATACTTTGCATTTAACTAATATCTCTAATATTAACAAAAATTATTATAACATCATCTGAATCTATATAGCCATAAAATATTAGTTGGCATTTGTCATTGTTATTCAACTTAACGTCAAGTCTATATTATTTCTGTTAAAAATTCTTTTTTTGAATTAATCTGAAAATATTTAGTCAAGGTTTAAATCAAATTAAATATTATGTTTTTAATTAATAATTAATCCGAACATTAGATGTTGAATTGGGTGTTTTATAACTGATGAAAGTTGTCTAAAGAAAATTTGAAAGAGGAACATTAGGAATCAAGTAAAATAGTAAAATAAAGGCAAATGCACCCTAAAATATCATTAAAAAAAACTAATTATAGTAATTTGATTAAAGAAAAAAAGGGACAAGTAAGAAATAAATACTCATTTATCCATAATAAATAAATAAATAATATTTTCAATAAAAAATAAGAACTTTTAGTTTTTTGGTTAAAAGGTCAACAGAAGCAAAGAATCAAACACATAAAGATAAAATATCAATATTCATCAGATAATAGGTTTTTTTTTTTTTTTCTCCTTTTCATCGGCGTAGTAGACAAAACTAGTCAAAGCCACAAACTTCCCAAAAAAAAAAAAAGACAGCTGTAACCAAAGACTTGGAAAAGTTTCACTCTCCAAGAAAACCCGAAGAAAGAGATTAAGCTTGCAAACTTGTAACAAAAGGCTGCAACTTAGGGATCTACCCAAAGCTCCAAATTTTAAGGTTGGTTTCAGCTTTTACTTTTCTTCCTTTGTACTCTCCGTACACTCAATCTCTTTTCACGTTTTCTGCTACAAAAAGAGCTTTCTTTTGATAGTTTTATTGTATATTTTCAGCTGCTTTGTATTTTGACGTCGGTTGATGGATATGTGCATCTGGTCTTATGTTTTTGTTGCGATTTGAAGTGTTCCCTTCCTTTGATGCTTGTTTCAAAAGATTGCGTCTTTGGAAACTGTGGGTTTTTTAGATTTTTTCTTGCTTTGGTCTTAGATTTTTAGATTAAATTTGATCTGTTTCGTTGTTCTTTGTGATTTTTATGTCCTTTCCTTTGATGGGTACTCTTTGAAGTTTCCATTTTTATGAATTTATTGATTCAATAGCTTGAACTTCTGATCCAGGCAAGTATCAGTGTTGGATTTTTCAATCTGATGGGTTGTGTTTAATTGGGGTTTACAAGGCAGTTTAAGCAGTTTGGGGGTTCAATTCTTTGTGTTTGAATATAGAGAGTTTGAGTTGCAGAAACAGGTGTTGGCTGAGTTTCTTTTTGAGTTGTTGTGGTTTTGCTTATGCCCATGGGGGATTGTGAATCTGTGGCTCCACAATTAGAAGGAGAGGAAAATTTAATTGCTGCGGCCAAACATATAGTGAAAGCACTGGGTTCTAATAAAATCCTTACAAAAGATGTGAAGAAAATCTTGGCAGATCTTGGTAGCCAATTATCTAGCATGGCTACAATTGAGGATAACATTGTTGAGGATGGTAAAATTGGGATCGAAGAGCAGTTGAGTTTTGTTCAGGAAAAGATTATGATTTGGGAGGCAGATGAGTCTATGATTTGGGATTCAGGTCCAGATGAAGCTGTCAAATATCTGAATGCTGTAGATGAAGCTCGAAAGTTGACTGAGAGATTAGAAAATCAGTGTTTAAATAGTGAAGAAGACAAAGGGTTTTTACGTAGGGCTCATGATGTTCTTCAGATAGCAATGCAAAGGCTTGAGGAAGAGTTTAAGCACATGCTGGCTCAGCATAGGCAACCCTTTGAGCCTGAGCATATGTCTTTTCGTTCGAGTGAGGATGATGCTGTCGATGAGGGCTCAATAGTTTCTTTTGGAGATGACTCTATTGAGGAGTCAACCCTTAGAGATAGCATCAGCAGAAACTCAGAGGAGTATATCATTGATTTGGTTCATCCAGATGTGATTCCTGACCTCAAATGCATTGCCAATTTGATGTTTTTGTCAAATTATGATCATGAGTGTTGCCAGGCCTACGTCATTGTTCGAAAGGATGCATTGGATGAGTGCCTCTTCAATCTTGAAATGGAGAAATTGAGCATTGAAGACGTGCTCAAGATGGAGTGGCATACCGTGAATTCCAAAATGAAGAGATGGGTGAGAGCTATGAAGGTCTTTGTGCGGCCCTATCTTTCCAGCGAGAAGTGGCTCTGCGACCAGATTTTTGCAGAGGTTGGATCAGTTAATTTGGTATGTTTTGTTGAGGCGGCAAAGTCTTCAATGCTGCAGCTTCTGAACTTTGCTGAGGCCATCTCAATCAGCCCTCATCAACCAGAAAAGCTAGTACGAATTCTAGACATGTATGAGGTGCTTGCAGATCATCTTCCTGACATTGATGCTTTGTTTTTGGATGAAGCTGGTTCTTCTGTTAGGATTGAGTATCATGAGGTTTTAAAGAGATTGGGTGATTCTGTAAGGGCAACATTTCTTGAATTTGAGAATGCCATTGCATCAAACACATCAACAAGCCCTTTTGCAGGAGGGGGAATTCACCATCTGACCAGATATGTTATGAATTACATTCGACTTCTTGCAGACTATGACGATACCCTGAATTTACTCCTCAAGCACAAGGATGGAGCAGCTGCTACCCCAGTCTCCTCCGACATAAGTCCAGCCACAGAGGAGGAAAGCATGAGTAAAGATTTCTCGGGCAGTTGTTCCCCAGTGGCACTCCACCTCCAATCACTCACTTCTATTCTGGAAGCCAACCTCTATGAGAAATCCAAATTATATAGGGATGCTTCCTTGCAACACTTCTTTTTGATGAACAATATACATTACATGGCTCAAAAGGTTAAAAATTCAGAACTCAGGCTCCTATTTGGAGATAAGTGGATTCGAAAGCACAACTGGAAATTCCAACAGCACGCAATGGATTATGAGAGAGCTACTTGGAGTACAATTCTCTCTTTATTGAAGGATGAGAGCAATTCCAGCACAAGTTCTATCTCAAAGACACTTCTCAAGGAGAGATTACGGAGTTTTTATGTTGCTTTTGAAGAGGTTTATAAAACACAGACGGCATGGCTTATCCCAGATGTTCAGCTTCGAGAAGATTTACGAATTTCAACATCCCTGAAAGTGATCCAGGCATATCGGACGTTTGTTGGAAGACAAATGCACCACATTGGTGAGAAACACATCAAGTACAATGCTGAAGATCTGCAGGATTACTTGTTAGACCTCTTTGATGGATCCCAAAAATCGTTGCATAATCCCCATAAGAGGTGAAATTATGATAGCAAAGTAGGTACATACACGTCTGTATCTTTTAATGATGAAAGGCTTCTGTTTTGTTTGTAGCTTTTTACTTTGATCAATAAACAGGTGGATTAAGACAATCCCCACCTGTTAAAAGTTTCTCTCTCAGTTAGCTTCCAAATATTGAACTGATTGAAGCGAAAATGATGAAGTATTTGTAATGTCATTCTTGTAATGATAAAATTAAATTGGAGTCTGGAATTAGAATGTCTTTTGCCTTGAATTTGCATTTTGTGTCAGCAAATTTTTGTTGGATTCACTGGAACAAGTCCATTGCTGTACTGCTTTGCTGTAAGTATGATGTAACAATAAAAATATGCTGCTAAAGCTCATTAAGATGGGCAGTGACTAGGTCCATATTTGTCAGTTATTTGCTCTAGCACTTGCCAGATGACACAAAGGAAAGTCTTGGCTTTGAGTCAAAATGAAGGTGGTTCATCTCATATCTGTCAGGAAGTTCATGGCGTAGGATGGCAACTCGAACTCCAAGCCAACTTGGGGATCAAGCATTGAATAGCATTTATATCATAAAGTTTCTAGATAGCCTATCATATTCAGTTGAGGCAAGTGTATTAGCAGGAAAGACCTTGCATCTGTCCACCTTAAAAGAACTTGACATCTGAAAGAGACTTGACTTTCCCAACTTGAATTTTGTAGGTCCTGCAAAGATGGTGTTCATGAGAGAAATGGCTTCAACAGGGGAGAGAGAGATTTAGAGAAACTGAATTTGGACAAGCTTTTTACAGATATTTTTGTGGCTAACAACCAAAGAAGTCAACTGAGAAAATTCTTATAAATATGAACAATTGACTCCATTTTTCATCGAAACTATTGGTTGAATTGTCAAGACAATGGCTTTAAAATTTTTGGATTTTGTTCAATTTAATTTTTCTTTGAATCGATTTAAACATATTTATTTATATTATTAAATTAAACGAATTTATTGAAACTACTTTCATACAGCCTTCTAGTTGATTCAAACATAAAAAAAAAATGCAAACTCTCTTCCACAAGATCTAGAATTTGACTTAGGCTAGAGCCTTGGAGCATCGAACCATTTGATTGACAAAAAGAAAAATAATAGTTAACGAAAGATGGATACAATACTGTTGACATTTTCCCAAATTATGACAAAATGGGCCTAAACCTTCCATGCTTGGACAACCTTTGAGTCTTTGATTACTTCTTATTTTTCTTCCCTTCAACATTGCGGTTTTGATGACATGATAGTTTCTCATTTGGTTCCAAAACTCTGAGTCATTGAATTATTCTTTTTCTAGACACTGGAATTTTGAATTTTTTGTATGTTGTTGAAAACTAAAAGGAAAATGAAAACTTAAATAGTTAAAAAGTTCTAAAAATAAAATAAAATAAAGCAAGGAAAACTAAATACTCTATTTGACACATTTTAAAGGAAAAAAAAAAATTCAATTTGGAACAGAGGAGTTCAGAAGCTGAATTAGACAAAATCTGCTTGACATCTCTAAGAGTTTGTCTGAAACTTGAAATATGAAAGCTTGTTTGGGGCATTGCTATTCAAAATATTATTAAAATATTTAAAATATTTTTATATTAATATCTTAAAATCAAAATAAATAATATAATTTTTATTAATAAAATAATATTCAAGATTGGAAAAAAAAATTTAAAAATTTTATCCAAAGATCAATTTTAGCGTTAAATAGATCATGGTGGATAATCCAACCCATAAATATGTCTAATTTGAAATTTGAAGAAATATTAAACTTGTTCGGAAGAGATTAAATTATTTCTTTTTTTTTTTTTCTAACAAACATGTTAATACAAGAAAAAAACACAAAAAGAGAAATGTTTGAAAAGGAAAAGAAAAACAAAATACTGTACGACAAGTTATCATAACTCTCAATCTTTAATGGATGGAGAAGCGACAATTTCTTTAGCGCATCTTTGTTGACCTTACAATTCTGAAAGGAGGAATCCGTGAACCTCCGTCTCCTATGTAGGGCCTACGGCACATGTCTAATTTTTCTAGCTTTAGCTACAAAAGCGACAATATGAACCCTTGCTGCAAGCTAAAGCTCTCGGTGAACCGCAAGCAAAACTAATATTTAAACAAGAAATATGTAGTATGTGTATATATATATTAGAAATGATCATTTCTTATCTATTTATTTCATATCTAATATGTTATACAATAAAACAAAAAATTTTATTTATCATAATTATTCCAAACACAAAACATTTTTTTTTGGTTAAATTTATATATAATATTTTTATTATAATTATACAATTATGCAACCACGTTAAAAAAAATTATGTATAAATTTATCATTTATAAATATAAGTTTCATATAAAAATTTGATAAACTCTACCTAATTTTGAATATGATTAATCAATTATATTATAATAATGATAGATAATATGCTCTTGTTTTTTCATATCATTTTTATGTTATCTTATTTTTTATATCATTTTTATATTATCCTTTCATATTTAAAATTATCACGACTAATTTATTTGGAAAATAATTTACAGAGTCAAGCTTCTTGTTTCCATTGACAACACAAGTGAACTTATCTTCTAATAGAATGCAACTATTTGATGATTTCCCCAAAGACACTAAAGAAAACCAATAATCTAAACTATTGGCAAATTACAATCAATATACACTACAATTTATCAATTTTAGAGATATCAATAATTAAGGCATGAAAAGAATAGTACATTTTCTATTTTGATCTTTGAATTTTTATATTATATTTATCTTTATATTCATATTTAACGAATATTTAAAATTTATTTATATTTTTATTTTTATAAGTATTTAATGAGTATAGATAATATTCATATCTATAATTTTTTAAAATATATTTTTTTTAATTTTTATCTTATATATTTAGGTAATTTTTATAAGTATGTGAATATATCTTTTTTCAATAAAAATATATTAATTCTAATTAATCAAAAATAATATATATTTAGTAAATAAATTTTTATTAAATAATAATTTCTATTAAATAAATATATATAAATATATGTAAGATATAGGTATAAGAGAAGTATCATATTACTTATCTTTGTATCTAATAAAATTTTAAAATTATATTTATACTAATAATATAATATCAATCTATATTTTTAATAAAATAAAAATTAAATTTTTTATTAAATATAAATAAAATTAACATCTCTCATCAAATTCACAACTTTTAAATACTCCCTCGCAAGTAATCTCATTGCAATAATTTGGTGTTACTTCACTTGTTTGTACTCGGTAAGTACTTGACAAGCCGCAATTGCAAAAAAAAAAAATCAACCGAAACAGACTTGATAGGCACTCGACAGAATCCATCGTAGACCTGCTTCAACGTCTGACAAGAACAACTCCAGCATATTTGGCAAAATTTTAGTAGCTTAAGCAACTTACGAGTCACAAAGCCCAGAAGGGCTTTTCAATTGCATCAGCATTGGAGTTTCTATTTAGGGATTCATTTAAAGATGGCAGCTCAACCCATCCTCGACGGCTTCCGCCCTAACTTGATATTATAAGATTAGGTTTTCTTTTAATAAAAATAAAATTTGAATAGGGTCGAATAATAATAAAAAAAATCAAAATTAAATTAATGTCAAATTTTAAATAAATCTATCTTAATCAGATCTTGTATATGTATAAAAAAATTATTTTTTAATTATTTAATTTATTTTATATTTATTATAGTTATTTAATTTTATATTTATATTAAAAAAATATTTTACATTAAAAATATTTTATTAATTTTGTATTTAGATCAGATTGAATATAATTTTATACAATATCCAATCAAATTTAAATATAAAAATAAAAAAATTTATCAAATCAACATAAATTTAAATATTATAAATATAAAATTAAATTAAGTTCAAGACGAACAAAAACTCATCCCCTCTTAACCCAACTTATTGTCATCCCTCGATTCATCATTATTTTCCTCGTAATTATCTTCATCATCCTTATGTGCCATTAACTGGACCAAGGTGTCTGAAACAACCAAACAATTTTAAAAAGTAATATAAAGTTATACACTTTATTGGGATATACCATCACTAGATTTTAGTCAATATCACAGTATTTTTCATAACAGGAAGCAAATTTGGCACCAAAAATTTTGAATGTAGGTAGTTTAGAAATCCATTCCTACCAGGAAAAATATCATGTTTAGCTTTATTGGTAACATTATTCTTGTCATGTGATTTCATAGATGGTGCTGATGAAGTGAACTTTAGTGGAGGTGGTGGAGGCAGAAATTGTTTTTGGAAATGGTGGCGAAAATGTTCTTGAAAGTGGAGGTGGCATTCCATTAGATGATGGGTGCACCAATTTATTTGGAATAGACATAGTTTATACATTTTTCCCACCTCCATCTCTCGATGGCTTGCTTGGATAACATCTAGAAAAAAAAATGTTAAGACTTCACAGGAGAAATTTTATAAAGATTATGAAAATCTAATTTTCATTATTATTTGATTAGTTAATTTTGTTTAATTTAGTTAAGTCTCTTATTTTTAGAATAAAGAGTGATTTGATAAATTACACTAAATCCATTATATATTTTTCTATTATGTGTAGAGAGTAAATTACTCATTTGATTAGTTATTTTAATGCATAAAATTTTTGAGTTTTAAGGCTGAGAATATTCAGTCTTTAACCTATATATTTTCACGTAATTTTAACATTGTAATAAAAAAATATAGAAGAATAAAATAGTTTTATTATAGAGATTTTTTCATGATATTAGAACACGATCTGAAATTTAAAAATTTTCACTCAGAGTCCAACATGACTAGTCGAAAGGAGAGCCTAGTGTTAAGGTTACCTCTAACCTCGAAGCTAATGTTTCTTAATCACTACAGAACATTACGACTCATATTTGAACATGTTCTTTAGCACAAAAATAGTAATTTCTAAGTGCCTTGAGTGTAAAACTAAAGAAATCAAATTCATGGATACATGAGCTTCAAACCATATGATTGAAGATGAATATGTATTTAGTAAATATAACCCATGTCATAAAAACTTCACAGTTTAAATTCCTGAAAGGTCACTTTCAAAATTAATCAGTACAGATTCTGTTATTATTTTCAAAGAGATAACACTTGATTTATTTTGTTTGTCCCAAATCTAAGTTGCAATTTACTATTTATAAGCAAACTTACAAAAGACCTTAAGTGTGTTACTAAATTTTTT